GTCTCCAGCAACCCATACTTGCCATAAAGGTGACTATGCTTGTCGTAAAAGGCGACTAACGGGATAGGGTGGTCAGGCTCGCTGACTTGGTTTGATGCATGTCATCGTATCCCAATTGCGTGGACCGATGAAGTGATACAGGTCTTTACAATTTGGGTTAAATAAAAGCGTCAAATACATTTCCATAATTACAATATAAAACGTCAACGCAAGAAAGTATCAGTCCGAAACAGATGACGTATTGGAGAAAACACGCTCACGAGGTTTTGGTAGACACAGCATGCCCGCGATTTTTCCCGACCCCCAGGGCATGCTCTGTCTACCAAAACCGATGGAAAGTGTTTTTCCATACCGAAAAAAGAAACTTAAAACAACATTTATCAACATTTTTATGTTTCGAACATACTTTCAATGAACCTTAGGAAACGCGCGTAAAATATCTGTTGCTGGCGTACGGATCTTGAAAAGGACATTCTAAAAACCAGTGAGGCTTATCAACACCTCTGTAGCCTCGTGGTACACTGACTGGGCTACAGATACGAAGGTTGCGAGTTCGATCTTCGGGAATATAAAGAAAAATTTGTCATTTGATTTTACATTTCACTACATGTTACAATCTAAACGGAAGTTATATTAATAAAATCCCAGGGACATTACAACGTCCCTGTTTATGAGATTTAACCCGACTGGAAAGTAAAACCTCACGACAGGTGCCTATAGAAAAAAGTCTCTTACTTAAAAGCGATCCCAATGAATATATAGGTTTATAAATTGGGCGTAAAAGGTCAATAGCGGTGAAAATAATATGAACAGAACACCTATAGTGTCCGTTTTACGATTCCGACTATATCACATGTGCTTATGAATCACTATCATCCTGTTGGGATTACGGGTTAGGCTGTCTATGTAGTTTTTAGAGTTTCCTATCTCTGAAGTTTCATTCCAACGTGAAATAAATAAAGTTGTATTTCAATTTTACCCGCCGCTGTTGTAAATTATGCCAAGATGTGATAAAAAACATACTACAGCCATTTCATATTCATAAAAATCCCAGGTCAGCTTGATCTTTCTTCATTTATGTTTAATAAAACTTCGTTTCCGAGGGGGGGGGGGGGGGGGGGGGGCACGGGTGGCCCAGTCGTCTAAGGCGCCGGGATTCGCTGTGCAGAGTTGCGTCCCTTGGGCACGCCAGAAACCTATGATTGTGGGTTCGAATCCTGGTTCGCCCCGATTATGTTTGTAGGTTTGTCAGCACCATACCCGTGCTCGTGGGTTTCACCGAAGTGGTAAACGTCTGAGACCTGCATCACTTCGGGCTTTCCTCCCACATTAAGCTAACATGCCGTGATATAACTGGAATACTGTTAAAAGCGGCGTTAAACCCAACTCACTCACTCACTCGTTTCCGAGGCAAAACGACTCGATCTACGTCGTAAATATATTTACAGGCTGGTAGCAAGTGTTTTAAACTTTAAAATGGCGTAAATAAGTCACACACTTAGTGGAAAACAATAAACAAAATTATTTTCTAATATTTTTTTATTTCGACCGCCCGCTCTTTTGCTGTTTGAGGTTGGAGATCAAAAACACATAACTAAATATGGATGGCCTACCCAGCGACCTATGCTGGTCGTAAGAGGCGACCAAATGAATCTGGTTGTAAGGCTCGGTCATCGTACCCCGACGAAGTGGATCGTTGCTCACAATATCGATCACTGGACTCAAATATACTCGCTGTCAAAGAGATGTAATATTGCTTATTGCGGCGTTAAACGACAAAAACAATACAAAATGTGAGCAGGACTCACTAATACCCCCGACCTCGACTCCAACATATTTCTAAGTTCAAAATATGAAAAAAGCAATATTTTCTCAGAAAGTCCACTTATCGAAATCAAACATAGCACTGCACCTCACCTATTGGTATAGACATTGTACCCCTAACTGGAAAAGAATCCAAGTAGTTATGAAGCTACTATATAGGTCGCACAAATGTTGAAGAAAAAAATATTATGAGTTCATAATATGTAATAAATCATTTTCTCAGAAAATCCACATATCAAAATTAAACTTTGCACTGAACCTCTTATATTAGTATGGTAACTGTTCCCTAAATTTGAGACCGCCTCCGTGGTCAGGTGGTAGAGCGGAAGGTCGTGGGTTAACGTTGATCCCCGGCCGCGTCATACCGGCGTTAAAAAAGACGTTAAAAGATGGTAGTTGTTGTTACCCTGCCTTGCTCGGCATTAAAGTGCTAAAACAAGGACTGGTTGGCTCGGAGTCAGTAAACTGTGTCTGAGTGTGGTATTCATGTTAAACTGCGGCATGGTATCTGAGTGGGCTAGTACTATAAAATCAGCTTTAGTCCGGACTAGTACAAGCAGCCACACACACATACACGTGCATGCACATTGCTATATAAGTGCAATAATCCTGGACGCGACCTTTATCCCATTTCACCTCACCTTTCGCCTCACCCTAAATTTGAAAAGAATCAATGAAGTAGTTTTCAAGTTATACGTCGCACAATGTTTAAGTAAAAATTACAACGGACATCATTTTTGTCACTGATTTGGAATTGTCCTCCACATATATGTAACTTAAAACGTTTTGAAAGCTTTAACACGGCATTGAATGCTGTAACTAACTCACGATTATATTATCCTCGCACGTGTAAGGGACGCAACTCTGCATTGCCTTAGACGACAGCCCAAACCGTGCCTTAAAACAACAAAACAACACAACTTGCATGGAAATAATCTTTATTTCCTCTGTAACATGAAATATAAATGTTTGAGATAATGAAGTATTTAAAACTGATAACAATAAAATCAAATCCCTGCCAAAATTAAAATATCGAGATGCCCTAAAATGCTTGGGCCGTTCAGGTCTTGAAATAGTCAATTGGAGCCGGTGTCGAGGAAATATGTTCCCTGTAAAATAATATCACATGTAACTATCGCATTTAAAACCATCAGAAACCAAACAGATGTCACTTAAGGCAAGTTTAGAATTTAAATGTTTCTGGTTTATGATATTTGTAAGTTAGATGTCTAAGTCCTCGGCATTGATCCAGGTCAAAACATTTGTTTACAAATATAACACGTCGTTCTTCACCTCAAAGCTCCTGTACTTCTGTTTCAATAGGAAATTAAAGAACAAGTGGTTCATATCATATCTAAATAGTAACGAAATTCACCGTTTTAACCTAGCAATTAATACCGTGTCATTACAAAGTAAATACGATCTCTTGTGGAAGTTGAGGGCATGAGCTGTATAAAAAATTAATAAGTTCTCTTAAAAGATCTTCAAAATAATTAAAACTGTTCTGGTAGCTTTAACAACAGATATGTTGTCATTTGGGAAATGAATGAGAGAGTCGGGCGCAATTTGATTGAAAAAAGACGTTAAGTGAGATTGGAAATTCTTCTGGACTTTTCACTGCGTATGAATACTTTCTTGTTAATGTATTTTTTTGCTCTCAATTCCAAATTGACGAAATGAAATACCACATTAATCATATATGAATTTAATCAATATTTGTAAGAACAACTTTCTAGCAACTCCACATTCTACTAACTAGGTTGTTCCAAATGAAATTTCTGGGTATCAAATGCTCAACAACACCCGCAAATCTGACAACACATACTGGTTATCACCAAATTAAACTTTGTCCGGCGGAATACACTGTCTAGAAACACTATACACAAATCTCTGATATATGAATATACATTTAATGATATATATGCTATAAAACCTATGACATACATGTAGACAACAATTTATCGCCATTTAGACCAGGGCGTCTCGACCTGACGGACATTATTTACTGGTGCCCTTGGACAATTTGCCTGAAAGCAGTCACACACACTTTGATTTAAAGAACTCAAGTCTTATTTATAAATTTCGATTGTTTGCTAACACTTTATATCGTCTTTAAATAACGATAAACTGTTCGTAATTCCTTGTACAATCAACGAAAGGACATATTGTTACGTGTTAAAGGCAGAAGAAAGATAGCTTTTTCGTTTTCCATAAATATTGATTGAGCAACTGTATAACACTATGTTTGATAAGAACACAGCTGAAGGATCTGGACCGGGGGTGTTTGTCATTTTTGCGCACAATACAATAAAATCCAAAAAGTTTATTTCTACTATTACACTTCATACAAAAGTGAGACTCGAGCTGCATGAGTGAGTGAGTGAGTTGGGTTTAACGCCGCTTTTAACAGTATTCCAGTTATATCATGGCATGTCAGCTAAATATGGGAGAAAAGCCCGAAGTGATGCAGACGTTTACCACTTCGGTGAAACCCACGAGCACGGGCATGGTGCTGACAAACCTAGAAACATAATCGGGGCGAACCGGGATTCGAACCCACAATCATAGGTTTCTGGCGTGCCCAAGGGACGCAACTCTGCACAGCGAACTGCGGCGCCTCAGACGACTGGGCCACCCGTGAACCTCGAGATGTACACATGCACCTGGGCCGTGGGTTCGACAGCCTTGTAAGGCAATTGTGACATTTACCCTAACTGTACCTGGAATCACACTTGTGCTATTTATTTGACGGGGGTATTTGGAGGTACTCTAAGACAAATAAAGGACTCGTGACAGTATTTTATCTGAAAAAAGCGAAGTTGTAAAAAGTATTTAGCCTCGGCTTCGCCTCACAATTTGTTATCGCAAATGTACCTTTTTTCCCAACAAATTCTTCTTCTATCTAGTACTGAGGTCAGTGACCAATAATGTATCGATAAAGCCTTTACCATGAAATAAGTAACTGTGACAATAGACATGATAATCAGTTGTATGGAAGCCAACTTCTATATTAACACTGTTTGGGTGTTTTGTTTGTTTCTTTGTTGTTTAACGCCGCACTCAGCAATATTCCAGCTATATGACGGCGGTCTGTAAATAATCGAGTCAGGACCAGACAATCCAGTGATTGACGTCATGAGCATCGATCCACGCAATTGGGATACGATGACATGCATGAACCAAGTCAGCGAGTCTGACCACCCGACCCCGTTAGTCGTCTCTTACAACAAGCATAGTCGCCTTTCACGGCAAGCATGGGTTGCTGAAGACCTATTCTACCCCGGATCTTCAAGGGTCACTGTTGGGGGGTGTCGGAGCAGGTACTGGCCGGATAATAAAGTAGCTTTTTTCTGTTCTGATAAAGGACCAGGAATCATGATCATTCTGATAAAGGGGCTGATTTCATCTACTGATAAAGGGGGTATTCCCATGTACTGATAAAGGAGCTGGTTTCCTGTTCTGATAAAGGAGCTGGAATAATGATCAGACAAAGGAGCTGGTACCATGTACTGATGAAGGGTCTGTCATCTACTGATAAAGGAGGCATTCATATGTACTGATGGAGGAGCTGGTATTATGTACTAATAAAAGAGGTATTCACATTTACTGGTAAAAGAGCTGTTTTCATTTTCTGATAAAGGAGCTGGAATAATGATCAGACAAAGGAGCTGTTTTCATGTTCTGATAAAGGAGCTGCTATTATGTACAGATAAAAGAGGTATTCACATCTACTGATAAAAGAGCTGTTTTCATGTTCTGATAAAGGAGCTGGTAGTGATGAAAGGATTAGTATCATGTGATGATAAAGGAACTTATGTCATATACCGATAAAGGAGTAATTATCATATGATAAAAAAAAGAGCCAGTCTCAACAGAAATAAAGAAGCTGTCCTCCATACAATTGTTGAAATCTTCCCCATCTTCTACTGTCAAGCAAAGTATGGGACAAGAGACATGGGAAAGACGCCTATTACTGATGCCATGTTTCCATAGTTTGGGATTAAAAATTAGCCATTGAGATAGCCAAACGTTAATTGCTGTAGGTAATGGGTAGGCCTTGCTGACGTTTTGAGATTGGTCCTCTGTAGATATACAAATAACACTATTACGTAAGAAGCAGGTCCAGCTTACCCTTTTCGCGAACACCTGGAGCCATCACTGACTTTCAGTGATCCATCCATATAATTGCATTACTGTTTTGCCTTTTGCGTCTTATGATTTCTGTTTCGGCAGATAATCGAGACTGATTATTCTCTGGCATTGGCGCTTTGAATTTACAAGCAAGGGAACCACATTGCTGACAGTACTCTCCAAGGTCTTTTGCCCACTTTCAGTATAGTCTCGACTGTGCAATTAGTGCCTTAAGGGAAACAAAGATGTGTTTGAACAACCAAAATCAAATCTGTTGGACTGCCAATTTGGCGGAGTCTTGTCACCTTTAAGATCAACAAGGCACTCACCTTTAAAACCAAAACCCTACCACCGCGACAGTGAGTTAGGGGTCGGGAATCAAGTACTCTGTGGATCCATATGGTGGGAAAATGTTACTTTTCATATAAATATACATGGATTGTACTTTCTTATTTTTCCGAATAATTCCCCGTACTACAGCCCTTAGCTTTCTTTCTGTCTATATTTTGTATGTGGCAAGAACAGGTTACTCTAAACACGAACTAGTGACTTGGCTGCCTTTATTTGGCTACACATAAGATAATGTCTTTGCATGGCATATACGTAAACCTAATCGTAATTCTCTGCATGGCACAAGTGTACAATGCTGGACTGCGTCTGACTATAATCGCATCTCAAATGAATGAACTAGAGCCAGGGGCATTATCTGACTATTCTTTGGTAAGAGGAACTGCGTCCACAACTGATATACCAGAACATGGAAACGTATTTGTGCATCTCAGATGTCACAAATAGTATTAAGGATATGGTCCTTAATGGCTACAATACTGAAATATAGTTTATGAAGTCTATACAATTGGCCCTTTGAAAATGCATAAGGGGAACAGAGACACTCTGACATATTAACATGACAAAATCTCATTTACGTGTTTTGGACAGGATGACCGAGTCCAGGTTCCACAATTAGACGAGTTGTGTCCCTTTGACGTGCCATGATCCTCAAATCGTAAAACAACACTACTGACTCACAGAAATTTGATCATAGCTGAAATACTTAACCTTGCATGCCTTAATGTAATGTATTTAAGATGATGTCATGTTAATATCTGTATTGTACCAACTCAGATGTCATACAATCATTGAACAAGTTAAATATTCAATGAAGTTAAAGGGTGCGTTTCCATTGCAGGTCAGTATATATATGGATTAATAAATTCTTTTAAGGTATATAAGCATCGAGATTTATGTTAAAAAACGTGTAAAGGCTACATATTGTAAAAAAGACGTATAACATTTAATAAATCGTTGCTGTGCCCTATGTTTGTAAATATACATATTTTATATGTGGATACCGTATATATGCGGACTACAGGTCTACCCGAATATGATCTTAGTTACATTGGTGTGATCTTTTTTTAATAGACATGCTGGATGTTCAAGAAATAATATTTTAGAGTACAAATTAATTGTTTGCATCCTGTGATATGAGAACCAAATTGTCTTGAAGCACTGACTGAAAAAGATATTCTTCGCCTCCTTCCCCAAGAATATTTAATTTACAGATTAAACATGATAATTATTTGAAAGTTGTTGTTTAATATTCCATTTTTTGTAGTTAAGTGGAGCTTATGTTGTTATATAACGACAAAGCATATGTGTGAATGTTTATTTTTTCAGAGTAGCTTCCTGAGCACAAGGTTGATAAAAAACTAATCGGGCAGTGTTCTTATTCCAACAACTAATCCTGATTTAAAAGTTCGCGACAAGGGATGAATCATTGTTATACACATGATTATATACAGTGGACAAACAGTACAATCTCTACACTAACATGATACTGAATCCTCCTGTGACATATAGGTATTGTGGTAAACTTTCCTAAAATAACCCGTATTGAAAAATATAAACTTATATAAACTTACATATTTTGAAGCACATACCAATCGCTGATGTAACTATTGTATTGTTTTTAAAATGATTATTTTGTCCTAAACCGAAAGACATATCCTGTTAAGATAGTACCTATTTCTCATATGAATTAATTATAACTGAATGAAATTACAATACATTTCGCAGAAACATCGTTTGAAGCACCTGTAAAAGGTCCTGGGGAAACATTTTGACAGCGTTTGTACGAGAATTGTTCTGAGATATGAATCATAACATGCAGAAAAATTAACTACCAATATCTAATATCTATCATTGTTAGCTACTGTCTTGTTTCGTAAAAATATGTGTTGGCCTTATTTAAAAAAACATGTAAAAGAAGATCCTATATTCCATCAAACATAATTATACATGACAAAGTCCATAATATTAATGAAATATCCTTTGAAGCACCCGTAAAAGGGTTTACGGGAAGATGTCCTGCCAGCATTTGAACTGACAAACTATTGGCATTTCTTTTGAACGTATATCTTTTAAATCGAAAAGAAAACATTACACCAACGATGAGGATGTGTTTGTGAAACAAAAAGTCACTTCACGGGCAAATCATTCTTTGGGTAGTGGCAAGATTTGCCTCTTGCATTCAATATACATGAACATTCTTTACACATACATCTATGCATCATCGATGCCCATTTAAAAGATAAGATGAGAAGAGGAATACTTGACTTTGACTATTTTACACAAAAATTGTAACGACCGAGCATTTTATATTCAGGGCAGGGTGGGGATTAGGTCCGGTGAGGGTGAGTTATCTGGGGGAAGTATTGGCCCTTCGAGTTAAACAATGAAATAATTGTGAGCTGCATATACGGGAAGACCTGAACAAATAAATTAAACTGTTCGACTTCTTTCATAGGGGGCATAATAATTTAGCGATATGAGCATCCATTTGGTAAATGGAATCTAGCGCATTATAAATGCACTTCTTCTTATTATTATTAATAAAATGATTTTGGAGCAGTGACCAATCCCCATCCCGAAAATTAAATGGTTGGTCCATAAGCTATAATACACATTACGGTAAGAAAGTACACATTTAAAAGTCATGTGAACTTAACAATGTCTGAGTTTAAATTTAACTTCCATCTACTCTTTACCAAAAACGCCTTTCTGTGATAACAGTATATTAGCGTATTAAGGGTTAAGACAATGTATGTCTAAGACGCCAATTTGAACGAGCAGCGTAATTGCTGTTGGACACACAGACTTTATGTAACTGAGATATATAGCGACGCATTATGTATTCTCCCGTGCTTTACACACGCTTGTCAGTGGATCAAATCGGTTACCAACTTGATTGGTACAGTCATATATTATATTACAGAAAAGCATACGATTTAATAGAAATAGTTTCAAATGAATAATGTGACAGTCATTGCCATCTTTAACGTTTTCAACAATGACTGGAGAACATAAGACATTTGAAAATATTTTCAGGACAAAAGTTTAAAGGATGTCACACATGCCATCTTTTCAAAAATGTGAAGAATGTTTTGGTAAAGTTAACTGTAGAAAGTAAGTGAATGAGTATGCTTTTGTGCCGCTTTTAGCAATATTCCAGGAATATCAGGGCGGTGACACCTTAAGTGGGTTTCACACATTGAACCCATGTGGGGAATCGAAACCGTGTGTTCGACGTGAAGAGCGTACGCTTTAACTACTAGGCTACCTCGACGCATCTATGAGACGGAATTTCTTCGCGAAAATGAATATCTTACTATTTCTGGTCAAATCGTATGCAATATATAACATTCATACACAAATCTGTCAACAACCGTGCGATATTGAATATGCTGCCATGTATACACGTACGTAGCCAATAAGATGACGTCGTGATGATGTCATAAATGAATGACGTCATAATCAGATGACAGTCTTGACCCGCTTTGTGAGGTAGTTGTGAATGTTGTCATGGCTACCCACTCGATTTCGGTGTGCCTTCACCTTTGGGCTGTCCTTAAGAATGTCCGACCTTTGGTCAAGGGGATACTCCATGACGTCATACACGGCAAGGTCGGCAAGCGAGAGCTGGAAATACGAAATGAGTCAGGTTTAATGATGAAAACTGCAACTCTTTATACAGCTGTAAATCTATGCTTTTATTTTATTTTAATTAATAACAATGACAATCATTTATTGTTCTTTTGGCCAACAGACCCAGACAACATATGAATTTACCTATATAATAGATTGTACACATGTGCGCTGGGCATAACTTATTGTTTGATATTTCCATGGTTCTTGAACATACAATACGGACATTTAGCAGCATAAATATTGTTTTCTTCTTATTTGATAGGGGGCACGGATGGCCCAGTCGTCTAAGGCGCCGCGATTCGCTGTGCAGAGTTGCGTCCTTTGGGCACGCCAGAAACCTATGATTGTGGGTTCGAATCCTGGTTCTCCCAGGTTATGTTTCTAGGTTTGTCAGCACCATACCCGTGCTTGTGGGTTTCACCGAAGCTTTCCTCCTACATTAAGCTGACACGCCGTGATATAACTGGAATACTGTTAAAAGCGGCGTCAAACCCAACTCACTCACACTCCTATTTGATAAGCCAATGGATCTTATGTCATGACAATTAATAATATTAGAGGGAAAATATGAAGAGCGTTTATCATTATATTGGGACAGTGCTAAAAACACTATAAAAAACTATAAATTCGGTATCAGTTTCAATATGAAGCAAAGGATACAAGAGGTAAAAATGAATTTTACATAGCGGATACCATGTGATCATAATTTGACCGCTGATATGTTCATTCATGCTCAGTTAAACGTCAAATGGCACTGTGGTATTACTAGAGATGTGTAAGAGAATATGACGTTTAATGACGGCGTGTCGACTTCAAGCACCCCGTCGTCGCCTCATGTGACATGGAACCGTCTTAACGTCATGACGACGTTCACATGGCGTGGAAGACAACGTGCACTGATTGCAGGGACGTAGTTGTGGTAAGTGGTATCATCTCTTCTAATAGAACGCGGGACGTTACTCATATGTTAGCATTTGCCCATTAACCGTCAGGCTTCCTCATAACCCCCTTTCCTCATTTGGGAATAGGTAACCAGTAAGTGAGTGTGGTTTTACGCCGCCTTTAGCAGTATTCCAGCAGTATCACGGTGGGGAACACCAGAAATGGGCTCACACATTGCATCCACATGGGGATTCGAACCTGGGCCTTCGGCGTGACGAGGGAAGGTAATAACCACTAGGCTACCCCACCGCCCCAATGTGGGAATAACGTCACAAAATAAGAGAGGCAATTGTAATGACAGGGTGGCAATCATAACAATTAACAAAGAAGGACAGAAACGTAAGACGAGACATTCAATTTATGCAGCGTCAATCACGGCATTGCCAAAAAGCCAATAAATACATGTATTAGAAATAAGTAATCATCAAAATTGATTTTGAGAGCCATGTTTGTAATGTCATATATATTAACGATTTAAAGTTGCCTCATAACAAAATATGTTAGGATTCAAACAACATTTCAGATCAGAATATCAGAAAATAAGTCCTACTGAATTTTCAATTTAGATCGACTAGTGGTGCATTCAATTTTTTTCTGGAAGATGTAAACGAAATAACCTCTACTCAGCCCTTAGCACCTTGTATAGACAGTATAGAATTGTATCCTAACGTGTAATAGGATATAATACGTTTAATGGAGTTTACTAAAAAATGTTCACACTGCAGCGACGTTAAACTATATCTGTGTTCCCTACCTAAACACTGTAGCAAGCGATTTCCAATATCCATAACTAGTTAAACATAAGATACACAATTATGTCATCTCACATCTCCACAAAGAGAACCTGACCATACATTGACGATGACAGTATCTTTAAAAACATCGATGGTTTATTGAAGTAATCCATTCATCTCGGCCCCGTTTCACATGACGATCTTAACGCAACGACTATCGTTAGTTTGTGTTAATGTATGGGAGTGACGATGTTCGTGGCAATAAGATCGCTTTGTAGAATAGGCCCTGGTTATTTTCTCCATTAAACCTCGATGAAAAAACATTGTAATGTGTAAAATCCACTTTAATCACATGTAAGATGTTAAGAGTAAGTATTAAACGTGTCGTATCAACGATGCATCTTTAACAATTCTGCATTGCCCGCAGACATAAACCAAAGGCGAAGTCCAATAAATGCGCTTCAGTGCAGTCCCCAGAACGTGGTATTACAACGGCTAAAATACTTCTGTGTTCACAGCAAGTGGTGTTTGCCTCGGGTTATGCGAGATCATTATTGTACAGTGAAATACTTGAGCGTATATATCGAGCGTGTTTACATTTTGACACTTTCCAATAACAGGTGTAAAGTTTCACAAAACTTGAAAATGAAAAGAATAGATTATGTATTTTATTAAAGGTTCGTAGTGATAATGCTTGCAACTGTAATGCATATATTTGTTTTCTTCTCTTCTATGATCTACACAACTCGGTCTATATCTATAGTATACCCTATATGTTGGAATGGCAACGAGTCATAAGAACGGAAAACCCTTAAACTTACATTACATCCATTAAACGTGCATTGCATTAATTAACGTACACTGCATACTTTAAACGCACACTGCATCCATTAAACGAACACTACATTCATTGAACGCACAGTACATTCAATAAGCGTACACAACATCCAAGAAACGTACACTACATCCATTAAATGTACATTGCATTCACTAAACGTACATTGCATTCACTAAACGTACACTTCATCCTTTAAAGGTACACTACATTCATTAAACGAACACTACATTCATTGAACGCACACTGCATCCATTAAACGAACACTGCATCCATTAAAGGTACACTACATCCATTAAACGTACACTCCATCCATTAAACGTACACTTCATCCATTAAACGTACACTCACTACATTCATTAAACCAACACTACATTTATTGAACGCACACTGCATCCATTAAACGAACAGTACATTCAATAAGCGTACACAACATCCAATAAACGTACATTCCATCCATTAAACGTACACTGCATCCATTAAACGTACACTTCATCCATTAAACGTACACTACATCCATTAAACGTACACTACATCCATTAAAGGTACACTACATCCATTAAATGTACACTGCATCCATTAAAGGTACACTACATCCATTAAATGTACACTGCATCCATTAAACGTACACTGCATCCATTAAAGGTACACTACATCCATTAAAGGTACACTACATCCATTAAATGTACACTGCATCCATTAAACGTACACTGTATCCATTAAAGGTACACTGCATCCATTAAAGATACACTGCATCCATTAAAGGTACACTACATCCATTAAACGTACATTGCATCCATTAAACGTACACTGCATCCATTAAACGTACATTCCATCCATTAAACGTACACTGCATCCATTAAACGTACACTGCATCCATTAAAGGTACACTGCATCCATTGAACGTACACTGCATCCATTAAACGTGCATTCCATCCATTAAACGTACACTGCATCCATTAAACGTACACTGCATCCATTAAACGTACCCTGCATCAATTAAACGTACACTGCATCCATTAAACGTACACTGCATCCATTCAAGGTACACTGCATCCATTAATCGTACACTGCATCCATTAAACGTACACTGCATCCATTAAACGTACACTGCATCCATTAAACGTACATTCCATCCATTAAACGTACATTCCATTCATTAAACGCACACTACGTCCATACGGGGGTTCTTTAAGATTAAAAAGAACATGTGCATTTGTGTACGACATATCGTGTTTTCAATATTCAAAAACAAGCCAAATAATCAATCCCCTTGCCAAACCCTTCCTTTAAAAACAACCCAGTGGTCGTGTTTACCTTAATGAAGCAGTAGGCCGCGCACCGCCGATGAAAACAAAACAGAATATGCAAGGTCAAGGTCGTCAAACATCAAAAAAGCCCGCCTGTCATCCCTGTGTGAAATGTGCGTTGTCTTTAACCGGGGTCAAGGAGTGCTGTAGAGTTCCCCCTTATTCACGTAGTGCTGGGTGTACATCGAGATTGACCTACTTGCTAACTATATCAATGAGCTACGAGATGCCACGATTCTGATTGCTCATAAATCAATGAAAGAAGTTCGTAAGTGTCAACCAGTGCAAATTCGGGACTTGAGCTGGGTGCTAGACTCCCCGAGGCTCTTGTGAATGTTTTTATACACTATTCTGGTAGGTCGCTTGTGGGATGTTGGAATATCGGTTCTGCTCGTGAACTTATTGTACACGCATAAGGTTGTCATGACTGTCATTCTTTATAAAGGTGAACATGATCGGCATCGCTATCAAAGGTAACTTTTTTGTGAGATGAAATGGGGAGGACGCCCATTTTGGTGTTCCCCGTCGTAATATTGGGAGGCGTGGCTGGAAATGAATTCATTTAGATGTATGGCATTTTCAGTACGAAATGGGGTTTAATGTCATGTTTAACAAGGATGTTTAACTTATGTAGAAATGCGTGCGTGCGTGGACTAATATCTTTTTAGTGCTACCATACGGCAGTTTAATGGATACCCTACTCAAACACATTCTACTGACACTGATTAGACCAGTCCTTTAGACTCCTTGATGCCGAGAGCCAGGCAGTGTAACAACAAGCACCATATCTCAACGCATTTGGGAACGACCCGACAGGGGATCGAACCACTGACTTTCCGCTCTCTGGGAAGACGCTCTATCCACTAGACCACGGAGGCGGTTGTTTGTTTTAATAGTATCTGGTTTAGAATTAGGAGTGTTCAGTCCGTCTGTCATGCGGTGTTTGCATACAAGTGTGTCATAATGACTTACTACTAGTTTGTAGTTTGTGTGGCTTCCTTATACCTGGGATGTCCGTATACATGGTGTGTCCGTATACTTGGTATGTCCGTATACATGGGATGTCCGTATACATGGGATGTCCGTATACATGGGATGTCCGTATGTATGGGATGTCCGTATACAGGGGATGTCCGTATGTATGGGATGTCCGTATGGATGGGATGTCCG